GGGTGGTGATTAGAGGGATTGCTTGATTTGCTCAGGATGAAGGAGGGCACTGAAAGGATTTGATCTCAACCCTCTCCTTCCCCTATCCAACCACCGGTCCTAAAAACAGAGATTGGGAAGACAACTGAGTCATCGGGTCCTGCCTCGTGCTGTCATCCGCAGGGACATCTCCCCATCCCTCCGTGGAGCCGCGGGCTCTGCCTTGCAGCGAGTTCTCTCTCTTGCCCCCACTACCTCCTACTGGAAAGCTGTTCCAGAGCTTCGCCACTCTAATGGCGTGAAACGCACTTTTCATTTCTATGCTAAAAGTGGAAACTTGTTCCCGCACCTCCATTGCCCTCTCAAATATTGGTTTTTTTTTTTTTTTTTTTTCCCTCCAGGAATTTGCCAGCCCTTCTCTCTGGGCATAAGCAGAGTGGAGAGGTAAGCAGGAAAAAAAATAATCCCATAGCAGTTGTGTTTAGCTTGATGCCACTTCTTGCAGGGAAAAGGACTTTTTTTGAAATAAAGGAGGTTTAATGTGATGGTGTTTTCTGTCTGGTCCTGATGCCTGGGCTCCAGCAAAGCTGTGGGCTGCAGACAGTGAGCAGAGGGGGCTGCTGAGACCTGCCAGCTGAATAAAAAGACCTTTAGTGCCCTCACTGAAAAATTTTCCTACTTAGAGAGGAGTGCTGGTGGGAGGCTGTTTGGCTTCAGTTTTAATGTCTTTCATTGTTATTTTTAAACATACATGGCCAGGGTCTGTTTATTAACCTCCTAATCTTTCCCCAAAGTAAATAGCAACAGAACTTCAGTGCTGAACATGAGGTTCTCCTGGCTGGGGCTTTTAGGAATGAGCAGCAGCTTGCAGCAAGCAGAAAGGGCTTTTTGCTTGTGTCGATGGCACTAAAATCCCCGTGATTATGTCCCATATCCTAGGACATGAGTTACCTTTCTAGTGTAGAGTAAAAAAGGTTTTGCCTACCTGGAGAGGTCCTCCTCTCCCCTCTAATTAGTCTTTATCACCTCAAACAGGGGAGAGAGATCAGAAGAATCTGTTGAATCTCCATCCCAACAAAACACCAGCTCCCACCCAGCTGGTACAGCAGGGATGCAGCCAGGCAGCTAATTAAGGGTCAGGCCATCGTTTGTATGCTGGAGGATGTGCTAACGGGGTATTGCTGTGCATTGGCCATGTTCTTGCAGATATTCATCTTGGTTAGCAGTATGCTGTGTTATATGTAGTGCTAACTGTAGTTTAAGGCAAAAGGTGGAGAAGGGGCATCCGAGTAAGTTTTGGGACTCTTGACTTCTTGTTCTTTTCTTGTAGCTACTGTGAGCCTGCTGCCACTCAACTTCATGGGAATTTACTTGGTTTGATGCCATTTGCGGCTTTTCAAACTGGAACTCTATGTTTATATTCTGCATACAGGAAATATTATTTATTTTAAAAAATAAAATTCCACTGCCATACCACCTCTAGGCTTCTCTACTCTCCTTTTGGTTTGTATAAATTGTCCTATGTCTTATGTCTGGTTTTCTTGTTTGTTATTTTTCTGGGTCCAGCCTTTGTTTTTTCCCCCAGTGGGCTGTTCTTATGCTCAGTAATATTGGGTTCAAGCTGCAGAATTTGTTGTTCTGTGTGCTGGATTTTCCTGGGGCTTGTGGTGGAAAAAGGTGCTGGGTGGGGACATTAATTTCTGTGTGGCCCAAGTGTTTTAGTTTTGCTTTGGATGCTTCTCTAATTTCTGGCTGTGCCTTCCCTTCAGATGGATGAGATGGGAAAACACCACCCCAGTGTCCTTCTCCTGAAGTTAGTTTAGTTTAGCTTTGTTTATTTTTTTAAAATAAAGTTGTATCAGGTTTTTGTTTTGAAATTGATTGTGATCTGTTTATGAGTGACCATAGATCTTTACCACATTGGGCAGAGAAAGCCTTCTAAAGCTGGTATCAGTTGTTCTGGAGCAATGATGCTACGGGATAAGAGACTTTCTGCACTTACAACTGTGTCTCTGGTTTAATATTCCCCTTGCTCCTTGTTAGTTTTTATTCCTTTTGGCTTGACATTACGGAATAAAGTAATTTGTGTGGAACTTGGGCATGCCAGAGAGTTTTCATCAGGCTTCACTGCTTTTTGCTTGAAACTCTGGAGGCTTAGAAAAAAATCATCTTTTTGGGTAGCGCCCAAAAAAGGTCCAGATTATGATATCATGCCATTTTGGTGCACTTTTTTGGGCCCTGCCTGGATAAAGTGGCTTAAATAAGATTACTGAACTCCCCGGTAATGTCCAGCATGGGGAGCGTGTTCCAGCAGTTGAAGTGTCCGGCAGCAAGGTGGGCTTGAGCTGGACCTCAGCTCGCTGTGGGGAGGCGTTTGCACCACCAGCCGTACAGCCTGGGGACACTGGTTCACCAAACTGATGGTGCTGCCCCAAAGCTCACTTGTCTTGTATGAATAATTTCGTTTATTTATTTATTTCTTGTATGTGAATTTATTCGCGTGTTTGATAAGATGCCTTATCTTGAAGCCTGCATTGGCGCAGTTATTTGAAATGTTGGAGTCTGTGATGATGCCAAAGTCAGAGATTGCTGGCGTTATCTACCATGTTCCTGAGCTGAGATTTTTTCACGTTGCTTGTGCTGGAGAACAGAAATGAAGAGAGAGGGATGGTGATGTGCTTGGGGAGTGCCACAGCCACCGACAGCCCCAAGGCTTACGAAGGGCTTTGGAAGAGCATCCCTGCAGAAGCGGGGCTCACCCCAGCCAGCAGCCATCTGCCTGGGGATCTGCCACCGGTTCCTGCAGAAGACGTGTGGGTGTAGAGGTCTCATAGCGAGGTTTCTTCCAAAATGGTGTCACAAGTGCAGGGAGCGGGTGAGAAAGGGAAGGAGCACTGGGAGAGCCCTCCAGAAGAAGGAGTCGGGGAATGGAGGCTTCCAGGGGCAGAGTGGGGACATGGGCAGGTCGCAGGGAGGCACCAGCCCAGGGCTCGCCTGGGTCCGTAGTGCTCTGGCTTGTTCAGACCATGCTTAGAAGTGGCTTTTGGCTTTCAGCTCAAGTCCAGGAAAGGCCTGGGCTGGCTTGCTTTCTCAGTCAGATGTCTTCAGGCAAGAGAGCAAGAGCCATGAGAAATCTCTAGTAAATTATAGGAACAGGGACATTTCAGAAAGACTTCCCCTGGTAGATCAGTTGGTTCTGGGGGATTTCACTACTTGGTAACTTTTTGGATGGGGCTAACTGAGTGGTTGGGGCCTTAGAACTCTCCTCCTGCCTGGTGTTCCCTTGGCTCTAAAACAGTTGCCAAATTTGTGTAGTCCTGGGCTGTGGCTGCACCCAACCAGCTGAGCATCTACAACTCTTATGTCCCCCCTTGCCGCATGATTTTGGATTTAAGAGATATGTGTTTTTAAAACCAGAAGAGCAATGAAGAGGAAGTTGCTATTCATACCCAGCAGCAAAGTGACCTGCTGGTGTCGGGTCTGGTGTGTCGAGGGTGCAGCTCTGCCGTGGTGCTCCTCGGAGCTCGCTGTGGGATGGGCATGGACCTTGGGTGAGCGACTTGGTGGTTTTATATTTGCCAGGCTTGAGCTGTAGTCATTGGGGTCTTGCATGAGAATGGAAGACCATGTGGAACAGAAAAAAACCCCACCTTTATTTCTGACTGCTGGTGCCAGCCCTGTGCCGAGGGAGCTGCGGCTGGTGGGATTTGCAGCAGCTTGGGCATTGGCTCCCCTCTCCTGATGGGGACCTGGCCACATCCGATGAGGCTGCTCGTTTTGCTCATGGGTTTATATCTGAACACAGCCACCTCTGGGGAACCCAATTCATCTTCTCCAGGGTGTGCTGGGGGACCTTGGTGGCCATCCCCACGGGCAGGGGCTGGTGGCAGAGCTCCGTGCCCCATGCGGGGATGCTGCGTTGCCCCACGCCAGCCCGTGCTGCTGCGCTGACATAGCCAGGCCATTAAATATGGATAAGGAGGAGAAAGCGCGTTCCCTTGCTTTTTATAAATAATTGCTGTGCTGTGAGGAGTGAGTGTTTAGTGTAATTACTGCAGGGGAATAAACACATTAGGATGGTTTGTGAGAAGGGAAGACCTGCCCTTACCCCTCGACAGCCTGATGCGATGGGGTGGCTGGGGGCGTCCTACCCGGGTGGGTTTGGGGGAGGATGGGGTGAGGGGACCTCAGTCAGGAGGAGGCGGGGGATTTAGTGGCTGACACGGTGACTTGCAAGGAAGCTCTTTCTGCTGGGGCGCAGCTGGAATAGCAGGCGCTGACATTTGCTAGTCGCAGTTCAAACAAAGATCCCTGTATGGGCTTTATTGGCGAGGCGGCGCCAGGGACACTGGGGGATGTGTCCGACCCCTGCCCTCCTCCGGTTCCTCTCCGTCTCCCTGCGCTTCAGTCAGTGCCTCTGCCGAGGAGGAGTTTGGAGGCGAGGGACTTGTGTTGAAAGCGCTTTGTGTGAGACGTCAGCTCGGGGCTGTAAACAGCGCGTGGTTCTTCTCAGAGAAAGTACAGAGCTGCCGCGGGCGGCGTTTTTCCATTAAGGCGAGGGCTGGAAACCTCCTGGCATGGAGGGATGTGCTGCTGGGCGGCTGTAGCATGGGAGGAAAGTCTGTGGAGTGCTCCTGCTGTAAAGAAAATAAATAAAATAAAATAAAATAAAAAATATCAAGGCAAGGGAGCAGCATAGCGGTTTCCCTGAGCTGTTTGTTTTAACTGTGCAATTTCTGTTCCACCCGACGCTTGGGTGGGATTTACTGATAAAGATGGACGTTCACCTCCTCTCTTTGTCTGAGGATGGAGTGAGTTTTAGAGGTCTCAGGCATAGGCAGTTTTCTGTATATTGGGTTTTTGTGAATAACTCCTGCATTTGAGATTGCAAATCTCTTAATTGTTTGTGTAATTGGTGTAACTATCAATATAAACTAACACATATCTGCATTTTGCTTGTGTATTTATCTGATGCCTTTAAAATCAGGGAACTTGGACCTGATGACTCCTACTCCCCGGCCATGCTCTATCCTGCCCCATGCCCTTCCTCCTGCGCTGAATCCAGTAGACCAGTCAGGTGCAATTCTCTCTTGCTTGCTTGCTTTCAGACCCAGACTGGGCATCCCACAGCCTAGGGATCTTCATCTGCTTGAATTGTTCAGGAATCCATCGCAATATCCCACAAGTCAGCAAAGTGAAGTCCGTCCGTCTGGATGATTGGGATGATGCTCAAGTGGAGGTACGTGCATCGGAGACTTGAAGTGGCAGCGAGTTTGGGTTGCTGCATTTTGCCAGCAAAGCCCTAAAACAGAATCCTTTCTAAAGATGCCACAACAAACGTGATTTCAGAAAACACATCTAGATAATTCCTGAGTGTGGGCATGAGGTCCATGATGTTGATGGAAAAATGGAATAGCCATTTCACGAGGATGTTACGAGGGCTTCCCCCACCCCTGTAAAAATGTCAATGAAACAGAGTGTGCAGAAATTACTGATTTTAAATGAATTGCCTTCTGTTTCTCGCATTAACTCTAGCCTAGACGGTAGGCTAGACCTCTGGTCTACCACCCCTGCCCAGCTCAGCGGTTTCTGGCTTGGTTCCACTTAGTGCTGAAGACTTTTAAACTCACATCACGAAGAACTGAACCCTCACAGTATAAATTTTTGATGCCACACACCTGCCTAAGTTGGATGATGTTACTGAAGGCAAGCCTACCCAAGAAACCCATGTACTAGGGCTCTTGATGTCTTTAAAGGCATGAAAAACACTACTGATTATTGATCTTCATCTTGTGTGTTGTAGATTTGAGGTTTTTCTGAAAGCCACAGCCTGTGGAGTCATGTGTTTTATGAGGAAAATAGGCCTTTGTGTTGCATGGTTTTCCCTTCCTGGATTTTTTTTTTTTTTTTGAGAATGGATTGAATATGTAAACTCGAGAAGCTCAAAAATGTGAAAATAATGAAAAAAAAAATCTTAGGGGGAAAGAAAGAAGAAAAAAAGCTTAGCTGCTTGTTATGCTTGGATGCTTGACATTTGATACAAGACAAAACATATTTGGCATGGCTGCCTGGAAAAGGATGGGGTTTTTACACTCATAAAGTGATTTTCATTAAATAAAATTTATGAATAGGGAAATATTGGGGTTTTTTTTGCAGTGTTCTCAACTAGCCATTTTTATACAAGACCAGAAGGAAAGGAGGGCTGTCAGGGCAGGCAGAATCTATTTATTTATTTATTTATTTTCAATACCTCAAGCTCCTTTCTGAGGTTGCTGGCATGGGTTTGCAAAAATAAAATTGTCCTTTCAGAACAAGTGATGTGATCCAAAGCAAAAGGGTTTATTGCCAGAGACTGTTACCTTGCTGGAGCCATAACATGCGGAGACTTAGTGTTGGGTTTTGCCCTCTGGTTGCCTCATTTCTCTGCTGGATTCCCCGGGGAGCCATCTCATTCCCATGCCTAAGAATGGGAAATGCCACTGCGTGCTGCCTGCTGCTCCCATGGTGGGGACCAGTGGGGATTGTGCACGTGTGACTGGGACACAGATCTGTCCCCAGTGTCATATTAAACTCTAGGAGCCCTGGAAATAATGATCAATATTAATTTCTGAGCCCCGGGTTTGCAGGCACAGCCTTTACAGCGTCCCTTCTGTGCACAGTCCCGGGGAAGCCTCTCAGTAAATGAACAGGGGCCCCATCCCAGTGATTTTATTACTCTCTAGAAGCAAAAGAGGACAAGGGAAAATACCATTAACGTTTTTTTAATTCTATTTTTTCTTTTTTTTACAGTTTATGGCCGCGAATGGAAACAATGTAGCAAAAGCAAAATATGAATCTAAAATGCCACCGTTTTATTACAAGCCAACATTTCTTGACTGTCAGTAAGTAAATACCTTTGCTGGTAAACACCATTTACTTGTTTGTGCAGCTGCAGCCTCTGTAATATTTTAGTTTTATTTTAGTTTTAGCATGATACTTTTTTTTTTTTAGCCACAAGGAAGGTTTCATTTATAAAAAGCCCTGAAAAATCTTTGTTCTTCTGCACGCATCTGGGAATAACGTGTGGGATCTTATTAAATAAGTACAGTTGCAATGATGCAGGGAAGTAAATAGTTCATCTGTTCCCCAGACTCCTCCAAGTTTCTAAGGCCAGAAAAATGCCAATTTCTACCCATTGATTTCTCTACCTTTTCAAATAGCCCTTCTGCATCAAAACTTAACTTGCTTATCTGTTCTGTGAGATGCTCGGTTACTTATAATGCAAAACGGCTGGGATTTAGTGCCAGGGTGCTTTATTTATTTTTTTTTTTTTTTTGCCTAAGTGACAATCTCCTCTGTGAAGATATTGAAAACATATTGTCTCCCACACAGTGTAGAGTAAACCTCCCTCGTGAACTGGGGCAGACTTTGTAGACCAGGAGGGCTGAGCAGCTGGGACATGCTGTACTGTCCAGGGAGTGAGAAGATGAACGGAAATTGGTTTTATAGGGTCCAGTCCTTCAGAGTACCCAGGGGTTTTGTGTCTTTGTAAAACCAATCTTCACAGAGGGTCTGGAGGGCATAGTTGCCAGAGCCAGTACTTTACTGTTAGCAAACTGGTGAGTACTGGTCCCTGAGATCCCTCCCAGTATTGCGGCTTTAACTGGGTGTCACTGGTTGACGATGGAGGGGTGGTTCATCAGCGTGGCTGTGGTGTGATAACCGTGTGCAAGGCTCTGAGCAGCCAGATGCTGTATTTGAGCATCATAAGAAGTGCCCAAAACAGAAGTACTGGAGGGGTTCATAGGGTTCCCTGTGGGAGATACTGGCCTTCGGGCAGGAAGGCTCTGCTCTGTTCCCAGACCTGAAATAGTACTGGAGGTGGGCCAAAGGGTTCGTGAGTGACTTTAGCTACACTTGTGGTGACTTTATCTACATTTTTGATCTTCTTGTAATAGCTATTAGGAAGAGTTATTGCCTTCCTACATCATGTAAGAAGTCTCTTGTAGAAAGACAAGAGGGCACCTGTCATGTGTGTGAAGTGTCTTGGAGATGCATCCATTACCCACTATTTGATGATGCTCAGATGACACATCTGGGAAGGCCCAGGTGTGAGCAGCGCTGCCTGGCCTGAAAATGAAAAAAACATCCATTTATGCTATGTTCCCAGATCTTGGTTTTTATCTAAAATGGCTTCTGGCAGCAGCTTCCATGGTTCCTACAATTTACAGAAATGATTTGAGGATTGGCAAAGCCACCGTGTGTTGTGGAGGGGCACGCTCTGAGTGCGTTGTGATTATCTTGCTAGGATTATTTTTCTCAAGGAAGAAAAGCCCCAGCCTCTTAGTTTTCCTGTTGATGGAATACCTAGGAATACCTGCAAAAAACCAACGAACTAACCAACCAAAGAAAAAACAGAAAAACCCCCAAACAGGCTCTTTGTTCATTTGAAGCTTCTTCATTTTATAATTCTTTTTTCTGGAATCCCTCTACTTTGGTTGCTTGAAGAATTGCAAGGTTTGGAGCAAGAGGGAAGAAGTGCTCCAGTGCCAGCTTGTCCTTTTTTTCTTCTTGCCTGTGATGTTTGTTTGCTTGGAAAATAGGTGGTGTCTGACTGCTGCATCTGGCTTCTGCATCCTCCAGAAACCCCGTTGTGGCTTCCTGGCTCTGTCAGACACTTGGTGAAGGTTAGGGAAGTTGGAGGGATGCTCTGGAATTGCCCAGGGAGAATTTACCAGCTGTGCATAGGCAAAAAATACCCACCCACCCAACCAAAAAAAATAAAAAATCCCCTCTGTCCTCTCCTCTCATCTTCTGGCTGCCAGCATCTTGGCCCGTGCATCAGGAGCAGCGAGCAGAGCAGCCAGTACCCCTGGGGAGTCCCTGAGGCTGAAATGAATCCCAGACTCGGGAATGTTCCTACACCACCACAGCGTTGGCCCCGAGAGCCTTGGGCGTGGAACTTAAACCACAAAAACCCTCTTTGTATGGTCACGGGTGGTCACAGCCCAGCTTTGTACACCAGGGCAGCAGGCTGAGAGCTGGAAACCAGCCTGTTCTGGGGCAGGTACGCTGCAAGCACGTGGCTGAGCTTTGAGTCACCAGGGAGCAACAGAGGTAGCGTTGCTTTTGGGTAAAAACAAGGGGAAAAGGCTTTGTTCAGCCGTATGCTTGGCTGAAAACTGACAGAAGAAGATGGAGACAAGCTCTTACTGGGTTTTTGCAGTACTGGAAGTACATCCATGTCCTCATCCAATACTTAACATTTTCTGTTGCCTTTTTGCTTGATTCGGGAACACAGAGCATCGTTCTGCGGAGCTGTGTCTGAGCTCCAGTGCATCTCTCCGCTTCTCTCTCCGTGCTTGGATTAGTGGGAGCTACATCTGCTACTCATGCAGAGCACTTAAATATACTGACTGCCAGGATGTTTGAGTGCCTTGATAGGAAAAATGGGGCAGAATGAAATAGCATGAGTTGTGCTGGGTGGTTGTCTTATCTGGAACGAGATGAGACATCAGTCAGAGAGAGGATGTATCTCAGTGAAGCTGGCATCTTGAGTCATCTGTATAGTCATCTGAAGAGGAAGAGTTATTAGCAGAAGAGGCTTATTGTATTACGGTACAATTAAAATGTGTGGAGAGAAAATTGCCAAGTAAACCCTGGATCTTTTTTTTCTTTATTGTTTAAATTTTTGTTAATTTGGTAGAGGAGCTACCAAGCCCACCACGAAGGTGTCTGAAGGTCAGTCTGGTCCCCTCCCCTCCTATGCACAGCGATGATGGTGCTCAAGGATGCAAACTTCTCACCTGATCTCCTCTTCCTCTGAGACCTCCTTTTGCTGGTACTTTAATGCTTCATGTCCAGAGTGGTACCGTTGAGTGTTTTGCTCAGGCTGCTACTTACTAATGAGGGTCTTCATGTTTTACATCCAGGGCTTTCAGAAGTGCCCAGTGTCTTGGGTGTAAAGCGTGAGGAGCGGCAGTGTGACCTCTTGGAGTGGCTGCTCACCAGTTCCCAAGTGGTGGAGCCTCCTGTGATGGCTCAAACTGGGCACTCGGCCTCAGGAGGTCTCTGCCTGAGCATCGATCTCTGCCGTCAGCCTGAGATCTGCCCGCTCCTTCAGTCCCAGCCTGCCCCAGGGTCTTCTCTGCTTGTCGTTCCTTTTCTCTTTGTTGTTAGCTCGTCAGCCTGTTAATTCATATTGATTCCTGTAATTTCCAAAGGAAATTGCTACAAGGTTAAGATAGTACTGGCACAGATTGTTTCCTACATGTTTTTAATCTCTGCTTAACCATTCTGAAAAATAGCGTTGTGGTGAACTGGACCGTGCCTGTAAAACAACCCAACGCGAAAGGAGCCAGTTAGCATTTTAATTGAGCATGTTAGGATTTTGCATACTCAAATTCAGCTTTAACTTCTTCAAATCCATAATGCAAGGTTTTTATGCCTTGATAGCCAAAGCCCTGTCTTTTTGCTCTCCTCCAGAAGCTTGCCATTGGCCACTGGTCTTGAGGGAGTGGATGGGACATCACTGGCACGCCTCTGCAAGCTGGGATGATGCACAGAGCGCCTAAAGCAGCCCCCCAGCTGTCTCATCCCTCCACAAAGCCATTTAAAAGCAAGTCCTCACAGCGGGGACTTACCAGATAGAAAAAGATGCAGAGGCAGAGTGTGAAGCCAGACAGGCTTTTAGTCTGTGCTGTGATGGCTCTCCTTGCCGTCTGAGCAAAAATTTGGACTCGGACTTTAAATTTCATTTAAAAAGTTGTTTGACAGAAACTTGGCATCGCTGTGGCCACAGAGCTGCCTGTGGAAAGCAGATTGGTTTTTGCTGGAAAAACCTCTGACAAACTCCAGAAGCTACAAATTTGGGGTTTGGAAATGACATTTCTGGATGACGTTAATTTCTTTTGTCTTTGTTGGACTCGGTGGCTCACAAAGATGCAATCAGAGAGTGGTGGTGGATGGTGTTTGGTATCTTCTGGGCCACTTTCACCTCTGGCTGGGGCTTCTTGTCTGTCACACATCTTCAAAAAGTCACAGCGGCCGTCTGCGGTGTGTGCACTGGGGTGTATCCCAGGAAAGCCAGCCCAGCTGAGAGCCTTGGGTAACAATAAACTGGAGGCTCTAAGTTTGGCTGGCCAGCGCTCCTCCACAGAGCTCGGTGAAGCCACGCAGCCACGGTTTGATGTTAAGCTGCTTGAGCAGCTTTTCCCATGGTGTTTTTTTGCTGCAAAACTGTTCCACTGGCTTCTCCTGAAACCTTCCTTGCTGGCCCTTTGACAAGAGCACTTGTTTTCATGTGGGTGGCCAGGCAAGCAAACAAGCACCTCAAATGAGATTTGGAGCTCTTGGTGTTGGAAGTGCTTTGTCAGCCTCCGGACCTGCCGCCTCCCAGTGCAGCCCAGTCCTGTTCCATTCAGGGGATGAATTTCCCTTATTCTGTTCGAAATGTGTTTTTTTTTCCTTAGGGTTTTTGATGTTTTATCTTTTTCCTTTGCTCCCAGGTTTTTATCTTGATAATTGCAAAGATCTTTCTGTTCTAATTGCCAAAAAATGACACAATCCCTGTAACCAGCAGCCTGCCAGACTTTAGGTGGGCTGGTAAAGCTTCTGGACTTGATCCCGAAAGCTGTGCATCTCTGCAGTTCAGGAATGATGCACTTCTATTTTTCTAACAAATGTATTTGCTACATTATCCCATGATCAGAAATGCAATAACATACCATGAGGCTGTTGCTACAGTCCATTCTGTTCACAGAACTCTGGTTGAAATCAAAGAGGGGGGTTTGGATGGAGGGGGTGGTGTCCACCCCGGGTTATTTACACACACATTCACCTCAGGAGAAATACATTTCAACTAAAACACAGAAACAGGTGTTTAAAAGGCCCCTGAAGGCATACTTAAAATGAATGGAGATCAAGTGTGAAGTCCCCTGAGAATGGTGGAGCAGACTGTATGGCTTGGGGGACCTCTGGGTGGTCCCTGCCCCTCAATTGCTCTCAGATCCCATAGATACCAGGACCAATTCCTGCTCCTGTTTGAAGTCATCCAGGCTGTGCCGCTGAAACTAGGGTCTAACACCAGACTCAGAAGCAGCTTGTTATGGCAGGGTTGCCTCCAGTCCATGAGAATGACCATGGTCAAGTCCCTGCTCGGCTTCTGTGTTGCACTGAAGGGAGATGCTGGACTCCTCGCCGTCCTCGTCGGGTTTTTGTTTCGGTTTCTTTTGCTGAAGTTGTTCCACTTTCTATAAATAACCACTGGAGCAGAAGCCGCGGCTACTGGCCTTGCGCTGCGTTGTCCTAACCGTGGGCTGCTCTTGGTGTATCTCGGCTTTTGGGAAATTGTTGCTGAAAGGGCCTGGGTTTGTGGTGGTGAGGAAAGGGGAAGAACATGCGAGCTGTCGCAGTGCTTGCTGTGAGCTGGGAGAGTGGCACAGCGGAGTCCTGCCTGCCGTGGGAATCGCCATCGGAGCCACTCCTGTTCTGGCCCAAATGCTGGGAGAGGTCACTTAGGGCTTTTGCAGCCCGTCAGGATACCCCTTTGGGCGCGGTGCCTCGTGGCTGCCCGGTTTGTGCTCTCTTGCGCAAAAGCTGCGGAGATGCTGAGCCATCACGGCAAATAGGCCACTGCAGAGCGTGTTCCCTAAGGCATGGGGCCAGCAGAGTGTATCTGTTGTACGATCTGCATTACACAGCAGCACAGTTTTCCCACTGCTGCACATGAACCTTAATTTATACAGTATTTAAACATTCGTCCTGGAAGGCTGACTTTCAGAGACTCGGAACAGCTGCAGCTCCTGATGAATCCACTGAAATAAGCTGGAGCCAAGGGTGGTGTGAATTTTCTTCCTTCTAGTTAAATCCCTAATTGTCTCGTTGAAAAGGTCCAAGTTTGGCTGCGGTGATAACAAGCTGCCTCCAGCAGCGAGGCTGGAAAAATTGCAAGTAATTAAAAAATTTAAGTATTTGTGTTGATTTTATGATTAAATTTTGGTAGCTTTTTTGGAGTGGCAGAAGAAACAGGAAATTAAGAGCCACCTTTTGGGTCATCGGTCTTCTGCGTTTGCAGGCTACCGTGTTGTGGATATCAGATCCAGAAAGAGCATCCTGCTCAACCCAAAGAGCCTCCTTGCACGCTTCTACAAAACGCATCTGAACCTCCTGGGATGAGCTGAGGATGGGTTGTACCCAAAGCAGAGGGTGGCACAGGGTGACAGCAGAAGGGAGATGGGTGTTCATCTGCAGGGTTCACAGTCAAACTTGCAGATGTGTGTGTGACAACTAAAGATCAGGCATGAAAACAGGAACAGAAGGGGGAAAGGCAGAGCTGGTGCATTATTTCTGTTACAGCAGAAGCTCACAGCTGTGGTGCTCCCTGAGCATCGTGGGAGAAGGCTGGTGCCCCAACCAAGGAGGTGAAACAATGGATGGGACATGATATGTGTAATTATTTCCTTCTTTACTGCCAGGAAACCAATTACAGGCACAGTTCTTGTGGAATTAGTGTCTTGCAGATTTGATGAATGTTTGCTTTACCTGCAGATGAGTTTTCATAAGCAGCGTTAGTACGGTTATCTTCCTTGAGCATTTCTGGAATGTGTCTGCTGAAAAGATAGCATTAAATTTGCATGGGCAGCAAAAAAAGAAAAGGTAATTAAGCATATCAACAGTTTTCATTGGCAGAGAAGTTGAAGTGTTGAAGTGTGATGGGTTTTACACAGCACGCCCGATGCTGGGGGATCTTTTACTGTCATCAGTGTAGGCTACTTTGAGATGTCTGCTGTGAAGCTGGGATGACACATGCCTTTATTTCTGCATGTGCTTTCTGCCTGCTTGGGCTATTTAAGGTTCTAGGGCAATTAAGAACGAAGTGCAGTTAAAAATGGTTTGAAGGAATTTCTAGCATATTCTAGATCTAAACTATTCGATTAGGTCCAGCATTCACGCTAAAATAAAACAGCAAAAAATATTTATAGTTTTTGAGGTATTTTTTCCTTTTTGGAAGTTAAGGTCTTGGTGTATAAATCATTGGTATAATTTTCAACATGAAAAATAAAGGACTTCGTAGTAGGCATGTTTCGTGCCGTGCATCATGGATTTCTTCCTTGGGTTTAGCAGTACAGGCGATGGGTTTGGAAGAGCTCAGCCAGGTGGGTTCTCCCCACCCGCCGGTGTTTGGGTCCTGTGTTCCACATCCTCACCCAGCAATGTTCTCCTGGTCTGCTTGAGACTTTGTCACTTTTCACACGCCAGTTCCTTCCAAGAAGTCGTCTAGGGCCTGGGATATAGTTTTCCCATGTCCCTTTCATTTTGAATAATTTAGAATTCCTGTTGTTCCTAGTTTGGGAGGTGCGTGACACCCTGCAGCCAGCTCTGTGTTCACTGGGTCAGGAGTGTCACCAGTCCTTGGGCTGGGTTTTCCCTTGTCATTACAAGTGTGATTTTGATGTGACACGTCACAATTCTTTCCAATAGCTGTACGTGTGTGACCAGGAGACAACATCTCTGCAGCTTTGGCTGCTGAAAGGCCATCGTGTACCCGCATTGCACAGGGCACACCCAATTTCTGCTTCCATACTGATGGCTTCAGGGCAAAGATGTTTTTCTTTTGTATGTGGTTTGTTTTTTTTTTTCATTTACTGAAGAATATAGTCAGAGGAAATTAGATTTAAAGTCATTAATATACTGAGGGAATTTTGTACAGAGGCTGGTTGGGGGGGTGGGAATGGGTTATTCTGCTAAATTAGTAAATTTTATTAAATAGGTTTCCAGTAACATTGGATGTACAAGGAGACAATTTATTGTTTTCCAGCAGGAAACAGAAGAAACCCTTGACTCCAGCCTGTACAACGCCATTTTTGGAAGACTTTTTTAAATCACTCTTGTATTTTGATTGAAGAATTAATGATTCTGGATTCTTCCTTAGTGTATCTTGGACCATGTTTCCTTTTCTTTGTGTTTTTTTTTCCAGACTGCTGCGGGAACAGTGGATCAGAGCCAAATACGAACGAAAAGAGTTCATTCACAGCGAGAAGCAGGAACCTTATTCTGCAGGTAGCGAAAGACACTTTTGGCAGATAAGTTTTTTGATGTCCAGCACATTCAATTTTTTTCATCTCTGTTTGTATGCTCTTTATATTGATTATTGCTTGTATGTCACTTTTTTCATGTCCAGCACGTTCCATTTTTTTTTGTCTCTATGTTCTTTATATTGATTATTGCTTGTATGTCACTAAGTAGGAGGAGAAGGTGTGGTCTTTTGGGAAAGATCCCTCCCAGCCTTCACTGCATTTGGTTGGGAATATTGGGAATAGTAATACCTGATGGAAACAAATTGGGTATCGAGAGTTTTTCTGTTGAATTCCAAGGGCTGTTCACCACCAGCAGGTCATAGTATCAGTGAGCTTGTTTCTGGGAGTGGGAGGCATGAAGCTGTATTGAAACGAAGAGAAGGGTGTTTGTCTCATCAGGGCGCAGGAGGCATGAAGATGGATTGAAATGAAGAGAAGGGTGTTTGTCTCATCAGGGCAACTTTTGCTTTGGAAAGATGAAGTAGGATTATTAGCAGGGTTTGGTTAATGGCAGATAAGTGTGTCCGGTCCCCCATTTTTCCCAAATCTGTTACTCTCCACAATACTTCAAGAGTAATCAGTGGGATAGATAAGTGTGCCAGGTCCCCCACTTTTCCCAAATCTGTTAGTTTCCACAATACTTCAAGAGTAATCAGTGGGACCTGGTCTCCTTGTAGTGTGATAAATGCACAGTGCTTTGCAATTGCAAAGCCCCAGCACGTGTGACAGGGCTCGTTTCAGCATTCCCAGCGTGACGGTGGCCTTGCGAGGGGTGGTTTAGTAGAGCTGTGGATCGCATGATTTTCTTGCAGAAGGGCAGGAGAAGACACAGGGCTCGGCTGTGTTCGTTGTGTGGCAGCGCCGGCATAAGAACCGGCATGAAAGTGCATTAAATTAGGTGATATTTCTTAGCTATATGTAAATGGCATTTAATTTATTCTGCATATTAAGTAGTTGACACCAGCTATGCGCTTGGATGACTCTGGGATAATTTTATTAGCAAAGACCATGTTACAGATGAAAGGTTAAGATATTATTTTCGTGCTGCTTTTCAAGACTAATAATAAGCAGGTAGCTCTAGCAGTTTGCTGTTATTAAAACCACAATTAAAATCTTATCTCATATATTCTCAATTTATGTTTAGAGCGTTTCTGCTCTGCTATATTTTTATACATGAGGCATGCACATAGTGTGTGTGGGATATCCATATTCATATATAGTACATTGTGCACAGTTTTATTTTAGATTTTCAAAGTGGTCTGCTAGACTTGGACACATTCTATTAACAATAAATTGTTTGATTTCTTAGATAATTTCAGTATATATCAGATAACTTGTGTATAATGTTCACCCAGGAATAACATTTCCAATTTATACCATGCAAGTTCTAGATAGAAAAGCTTGAATTCAACTAGATACTTCAGGCAAATGTTTAATTTTAAGCACATGGTTAGTCCTGTCGACTCCAAGAGGAGTGTGTACCTGGTTAAAGTGGAGTAGGTGCTTCAGTGCTGTGTGGGAAGAAGGGCAGCGTGTTCTGAGCTCTCTGAAAATATTGTAGGAAGAGTTCAAATGGGAGTTGATTTTAGCAGCGTATTTTGTGGATGTTCTTCAGTAGTGTGGCTGTATAATATTTAACTGCCTGATGAAGCGATGGGGTTTTCTTCTGACTCTTTGAAGTTCAGAAGCCATTCAATGCGGAATAGAAGGGGGTCAGACGTTTTAAATGAACAGTGCTCTTGGGAGGAGGAGGGGACGGGACGGCAGGCTGGTGGGCATCTCGTAGGTTGTGTATGAGTGCTTGTAGGTTGTATATTCAACTTTCCCCTTCTGCTGGACCTTAACAGCCCCCAGGTGGGGTTGCACGCCCGTACTTCACCCCACGCCGGACAGTGCTGCTTCTTCTGGACTGTGTGATGTAACTGGGCTGATGATGCTGTTTTCGGCTTTTGGGCTGTTATGCCGGGAGCTGGTTGTTTGTCAGAGTTGTGGCTTGAGAAGGGAGCCCAGGGAAAATCCTGTATCCTGTAGAAAAGCAGCACTCTGGAGATCATAGGATCATAGAATCATTTAGGTTGGAAAAGACCCTTAAAATCATCGAATCCAACCATTGACCTGACATTACCCAGTCCGCTACTAAACCATGTCCCTAACAGAGATGTTCCCATGTGCCTTGGGACAGTTCTTGTATTGGGTGAAATGGGGGTGTTTCGGCATTGTGCCGTGCGTTGGGCTGGACCGCCAGTTTACCCAGCTGGTGTAAACTGGTGCCATCAGAGCTGGTCTGAACGGTGCCATCCATGAGCCCTCCAAGACAGACTGGAGCTTGGTCCTTGCAGAAGCAGCTCAGCCACACCGTGTGTCCCGGCTCTGCCTTTCTTGCTGCTTGCAGGGGTTGATACAGCTTAGTGGCCACAGCAGCAGCTTGGAGGATGCACCCTGCGTGGGGTGGACCTCCTGTGCTGGATGATGCTGGGCTCAGCACGGCTGGGAACTGCAGAGGATCTGGGCTCTTGCTTTCCACTAATGCCCTCCTGAACTGCCTGTGGACACACTGAGGTGGGACGGGCACAAGGATGCTCTCCTGACCACCCTGCATCCAGTTTGTGTCTCACGTGAGTGTATGTATATCTTTTTCTTTCTAGTGCTGTCTTAGACCATTTTTCTCACCGTTCTGAATTCCCCAGAGGAGTGTTAGATTACCAGTTTCTAAGCATGAAACATTTTGTTGCTAATAGAGACGTCGGTATCCATTTGCTCATGTTTGCTGGAAGATTTAATTCCATTTTCCAATCCCAGGGGCAATTTTGTATTCTGATATTTGTTCAATAGTTGTATGAAAAATAAGAAAATGCTATCTTTGAGTAGTTTTGAGCAACATCCTTTTCCAGGCAGCCTGACGAAACCCTGGTCAGAAATCTGATGTCTTTCAGAAAATCCTTTGGGGAGAGACTGTCTGGAGCCTCTAGATGCCAAGCAGAAGCTATCACAGCCGAACTGACAGACTGAGGAGAAATGAGTCTCAGGACAGGAGTGTCAGATGTGCAGGTCAGAGCTGAGACAGTCATGCAGGGAAGCCTGTCAGAGGATGCAGCAAACTCTTTAGCTGCTAGTGAAGTATAAATAAGAGGCGGGATGGGATGCAAAGGCAACAAAAGGTTTTTCATAGCCCCCCAAGTGATGGGAAGCATCTGCCTTGTGAGATGCAGAGCGATGCGAGGTAGCAGAACCAGAACTGGGAAACAAAGACACTTTGCACAAGCAGAAGTCCCCGGTGTGGGCAGTGCTGAGCGTTGATGCCAGCTCTTGAGCCTCACCCCGGAGAGGAGCCATGGTGCTAGATCCATGGGTCTTGGTTCAGTCCCTACATCAGATGTCCCCTTGGAGATGTGCCGTTATACGTGCCGTCACAGCCGCTCACCCTCGGTAGAAGATTGCAGTGGAAATTCCTGTAAGAGAATTTCTAGAGGGTTTCTTTCTCCCCCAGGCAGCCTTGGAGCACCAGCCCATGCACTGTTCACAGCTTTCAGCACCTCTGCACCCTGTTAGTTTTTCAAACTCCGATGGTTTCATTCCTCCGAAAGAGCTGTCGTTAATGGCTGTGTTAGCGCCATTGATTTTAGTGCGAGGAGTCGGTCTGAGTTCAGATAGTGCAGGGAGATTACTAAAACAGTGATTAAATGCTTCGGTGATCCACTATCGATTCATAGATACACCCTTTTGTACATTTGAGCTCTTAATTCAGCAGCAGTACGAGAGCTAAATAATTTGTTTGCCCTAGCCAGACATTATGAAGCAAAACATTATTTACGCCCCAGCAATCCTGATTAACACCGTGGCCCATGTCCCTTCCGCTAGTGATATGTTTGTTGCACAACAGCACAGAATAATACTGGTTTTAAGACTCTCACTTGAATGTGTTTCAGGTTGGCTTTATCCCTTCTGATAAATGAACTGGCCAAATTACCATCACTCTCCAGCTAATTATCCCTTTTAATGGAGTTTAATGGGGCACGAGTGCTGAATTCTCCTAGAAACAGAGGATGGTGGTAATTGCTGTCAAAGTCTGGATCTGGATCTCAAGGCAATTGAAAGCTTTGATAATTTTTATAAAGATTTTGATCAATTTTAAAAAGCTTGGACATTTTCCCCCGTTGTTGATAGGCAGCAGTAATGGCAACGCTTCTCGGAAGTCCTGCTGGAAGTTAATTCATTTTGGTGCTTTTGATTCCTCTTAATCCAATGGATTTACTTTAACTAAGGGAGATGTGGTGGAAGCAAAAGGGAACACTGTTTGCCAGGCTGGAGCACTATAATATTATAAGCTCTTCAAGGTGCAGCTGCTGGAATGCATCTGGGGTCATAGATGAAGGAATGGGATGTGTGTGTGGCCAAGAGAGAGCCAAAGGGAGTCATTTGCTCCTGTGAACTTGGCGTGGCTTCTGATGGACCCACCTCTGTACCGCGGGGATGCCACGAGGGATCGGTGCCCTGGGGGGAGTTGTAGGCACAGATAACACATCTTTGGGTCTTTGCTTTAACACTGGCAAATGCAGTGGGAGAGCTCTTAACGCCAGGCATTTGATCTCTTAATGCTTGTTAGGAAAAATGGCTTAAAGTCACCGTTAGGAGCGTGAGAGCGCCTGTCAGTGGGATGGACAGGGCTGGTGCAGTCGGAGGGGGCTGATGGGTATCTCCAGCAATGGACAGAGATGCCGGGCTGCGCCAGAGCAGTTGCCACCCTTTCCTAGAAAGCATTGCCTGAGATAGCTCAGCAATTATTTCTATGCTCTTAGACCCATGTGTAGGTGCTTTCCAGCACAATGCACTTTCCATCAAGGCACGAGGTAAACCGGGCATGTACAACATCGTCATCGAGTGCAGAGTTCTGCAGCTTTGCTACAAATGTTGCCTTTGTGTGTTTCCTGTAAATAGGCCGGTAAATCCTATTGCTGTTAATGTATCAGATGGTGGAAGAGCAGT